GGAAGCACCTGCATGAAGGCTTAGAAAGGTCATTAAGTGAAGCTGTGAAGATGAAGGCTGGGCTGTGTTGGAGACTGCCAAGTGTTGCAGATGCTAGAGTCATGGGATACCTCTCATTTCCTCTTTCATGGTAGCAGTGTCCTACTATCCTCCTCTCTAGAATTCTTTCCCCTTGCCTATGGTCCCTTTATTCTTTCCTGGGTTCTGTATCATATAAGTAGGATTCTCTAGAGGAACAGAACTTATAGAACGTATATAATATAGAAAGGGGACTTAGTAGAATGGCTTACAGGCTGTGGTCCAGCTAGGCCAGCAATGGCTGTCTCCCAAAAGAAGGTCCAAGAATTCAGTAAATGTTCACCCCACAAGGCTGGGATGATTAAAAGTGGGACTTCCCACTTCATATGATTTAATTAAGGAAAAGATTCTCATATGTGTGTCATTTGGATTTTAGTTAATTCCAGGTTTAGTCCAGTTGAAAACCAAGAATAGCCATGACAACATTCCAGTAAGACCTTTTTTTTTTTTTTTTTTTGCAGCTATGGACAAGAATATTCTAAAATTTACAAAGAGAGTTAAAGGAACTAGACCACTGAAATAACTTTGAAAGAGAAGATTAAATTTAAAGAAAAGTGTTTACCCTATTCTAAAACTTACTATATAATACAATTAATCAAAACTACCTGGTGTTGGTAAAGGGATAGACTTCCAGGTCATCCCTTGTAACAGAACAGAGTGCCCAGAAACAGACTCGCAAAAATATGCCAAGCTGATTTTTGAAAAAAGTATAAAACCAATTAAATGACAGAATTTTGGGGGAAGCTATTGGATACTAGGCAAAACTCCAAAACCAAACCAAAACAAACACCTAAGGTCTAACTTTCAAAACTTAAACCAAAATATAAAAACAAAATAAAAACACATCGCGATGGAACTTTAAACCCTGAAGCTATAAGTCTTTCAGTTAAATAAAAAGACAAAATTACCTGTCTCAGAGTATTTTGGAGAATATTGTTGGTTGAACGCACAGTGTACATATGTTCAAACACTATCTATACTTGTGCTCAAACAAATAGCTGAGTTCATTCAGCTCCCCCTTTTTTCCACTGAAGATCCTCTGTCTGTTCCCTGAATTGGCTGCATCACTTTGCACTCTTACCAATGATCTGTACAAGCTCTACTTTCTTCATGTCCTCCACACATATCATCGTTTCCCTTGTTGATAATAGTCATCTCAGTAGGTGTACTATGGTGCGGCAGTGAGATTTTAATTGTGGTTCCTCCACAATTAGTATTATGGAGCATATTACATGGACCTTTGTGTGCCTTCTTTGGGAGAAAAAAACCTCTTCTGGCCCTTTGCACACTAAAAATAAAGTAGAGACCTTTGTTGTCAATGTGTTATAGAAAAAACAAATATTAAATATATACATAGATGATAGATAGATAGATAGATAGATAGATAGATAGATAGATAGATGTGGGTATCTCTCTGTGTATATGTGTGTGTGCGCATATGGACAGTGTGGAGGACCAAACACAAGGCCTTGTGAATTCTAAACATGGTAACTTATCACTCAGCTAAACCTTCAGCCTTCACTCAGATTCTAATTCTTCAACAGATATATACTTTACAAATACTTTTCTCATTCTGTAAAATGATTTTTGGGTTTATTATAGTTATAAAGGCCAGTTGTAAATCTCCACACACAGGGTCAAGTGACACTCCACAGGACATAGGGTCAAGTGACACACCACAGGACATAGGGTCAAGTGACACTCCACAGGGGTACCTAAAGCGCATAATAGGGGAAGACATGAAACTAAGCAAATGCTAGGGGAACTGGATATCCATGAGCAAAACAAGTAATTTACCCATCATCTTATCCCCAAACCAAAGAGCAAATCAAGACATAGTAAAGATTTAATATAAGACCTTTAACTTTTAAAAACTTCTACAAGCCCCGGGACACAAGATGGCGGCAGGGCTCTGGGGAGAGCGAGGAGGAGGTGCCAAAACGGGCAGTCAAGCAGAACCTGTGGCCGCATCCCCTTCGGGCAGCTGCTGATTCACGGAGTCCCCTGGGTCACTGTCAACTGCACTGCTGACCAGCCCACCCACCTGTGCTACGCCTTCCTGTGGGCCTCCCCCCTCTTCTGTAGGACCCCGTGACGTGGGTTGAATCCAGAGAAGAAAACGCTCTCACGCTAGTATTGTAGACCCCAGAGGGTGAGAGAACAGGGAACCTTAATTCAGCCTTGAAACCCATGGGCTCAGCCCCTCAAGAAGCCATTCTAAACCTTTCTGTAACCGAGGCCCTTGTGTCACGAATCCTGCTGCCCTGTGATTTTATCTGCCAAGCTGTACAGATAAAGTAACTATTTGATTTTTCCATTCCAAATTAACAGGCGTCTTTGAGTGTACAATAAAATAAATGTTCAATGATAAAAAAATAAAAACTTCTAGAAGAAAAAAGTTATGATTTTGTCCTTTGTGGTGATTTCTTGGTTCTCTCTGTCTCCTCTCCTCTCCTCCTCTTCTTCTTCTTCTTCTTCTTCTTCTTCTTCTTCTTCTTCTTCTCTCTCTCTCTCTCTCTCTCTCTCTCTCTCTCTCTCTCTCTCTCTCTCTCTCTCTCTCTCCTCTGTGTGTGTGTGTGTGTCAGAGAGAGAGAGAGAGAGAGAGAATGAATTTGGGGAACTGTCAAAATGTAAAATGTCTCACTGAGTAATCTGGACCCACATGGCAGGAGGGAATTGACTCCCAATTCTTACCTTCTGACTATCATGTACACACACATACACTAAATAAATATATTTTTATTTTTTTCTTTGTCAATTAAAAAGGACATAGCCTTTGAGATTTAGAATTAGACAAAGAGTTCTTTAAACTTACCACTACAAATAAGAATCATATAACAACAACTGGTTAGTTATACTTAATCCAAACTAAAAATGTTGCCATGCAATGACGGCTTACATCTGCAACCCAGCATGTGTAAATATAATGCAGAGTATTGTAATTTTGAGGCCAGCCTGGGCTACATAGCAAGCCCCCACTGAAAAATTAGTTATAGTTAAAATCCTTTTGGGCACTAGTAATCCAAAACATGTCCTCACACATGCTAGAGAAGGGGGGGTCTACCACTCAGATACAAAACTAGCCTTAAAATTAAATGGTTTTGCTTTGAGACTGATCCTGCTAACATGAAAAGGCAAGAAGTAGACTGGGAGGAAATATTTGCAAACCACACATCTGACAAAGAGCTGGTTTTAGAATATAAAAGGACTCTGAAAACTAACAGAAAAAAAGAAACCCATTTAGAAAATATGCATATTACATAAACATTTTATTAAGAAATATATGGTATAGCTGGTAAATGAGGCTATTAAAAGATGAACATCAGGCAAGATGTCTAAGTGGGTAAAAATGCTTGCCTCATAAACCTGACATGACCTGAATCTAATTCCCAGCACCCACGGTAAAAGGGAAAAACAACTCCACAGATTTGTCCTCTGACTCCTACACATGGAAAGCAGGACATGCAGGCTCATACACAGATATCTTACACACACATACACACACACACACACACCACTGCCACCGTCACCACCACCAATAATAATAATAATAATAAATTTAAATTTTTTAAAATGATCATCAAAGTACAGCAAATTCCTAGTACATGCAAGGCCCTGGGGTTTCATATACAGTCCTGAAAAAAAATTACACAGGAGGACATAAAAACTATAATGAGATTATCATGACACTTATCAAGTGTAATCTTACTTTTTTTTTAGTGGAAACACCAAATTCTGGTAAGAATGCAAAGAAACTGGATCACTCCTTCATATCTAGTGAAAATGTATCAGCTACAGCCTTTCTGGAAAACAGTTTCTTAAAAATACATATGCACTTAGAATACAGCACAGCAATTTCATTCCTGGACATTTTGTCCAGAGGAATGAGGACTTGTGTTCACACAAAAGCCTGAACATCGGGTGGAGAATAGACTTTAGTGGTAGTGTTTGTCTAGTATTGTTGGTTTGTATTTTTCTGAGACAGGGTCTCAACATAACCCAGGCTGGCCTGAAACTTGCTATATCTCTCAGGATGAGCTTGAAATTTTAATTCTCCTGCCTCCACTTCACAAGTGCTAGGATTATAATAGGCTTGTGTTTCCAAACGTGGTTCTCAAGTGGGGAATGGGGCAGTATCTAAAGGCCAGTTTGGGAACTAGAAGCAGTGACAGATTAGCGTGCAATAAAAGCACATTTGAATTTTTTTCCGTAAATTTTGCAAGAATCTTCTGAAACAAACTTTTTTAAAACAGTCAAGAATAATTTAGAGAGCCCATTTAGGGAGCTGGGGGCCCAGAAGGGGTGTGTGCGTGATTTCTGTTGGCATAAGCGAGGAGAACCGCTTGTTGCCGTCTTACACTGAAATGGGACTCTTGGTTTTTGAAACAAATTTAAAAGACTCTGTGTTCCTGGGAATGTAAAGAAGTGTGTCTTTGTTCTGATATATAAAGATTAAAAGTTCAATGGTCAAGAGACCTGAAAAATTAGAAAGCCACATTGCCTCCTGGACACTTCAGCGTCAGAACATATTCGGCCATAATACTTATCACATGGTTATCAAACATGGGCCGTGCCTGTATTCTGTTCAAGCTTGGGAATGAAGTAGGCAGTAAGAGTGAACAATTCTACAAGCCCCATTATGGCACACATTAGGATGGACTCCTCGGAGCGACTTTTGAAGTCAGTTAAAAATGGCGCCATGAGAAAGCGGCGGACTCCTAGCAGGGACTTCTTTTAAAAATAAAATGGCGCCATGACATGCTGCGGGGGGGGGGGGTGTCTAAGGAGGACATCCTCAGGGGTTCTCAAGGGCCAGTCACAAAGGCAGGCGTGTCTGGGGGCGTGACCCCGAGAGGGCAGTAGCCAATAGCAGAGAAGGCTGTGAGTAAAATTCCAAGCCACCAACGTCGAGGCACGCAGACTGCCACAGCCACTTCACCGAGAGGTTGTGCCTGCTTGTCTGGCGCTTTGGACTGTTCCTGTTTCCTCCAGACTTGAGTTACCAGTTTCAGCTGGTAAGATGGATGACACCGAGCATGAACTCCAACGAGTGATCCGTCGCCACTATCGTGAAAAAAGGGAGCTACAAGATCACATCCAGACCCTGAAAGCTTCCGTCCCAAAGAACGACAAAGGAAGACGAAAGCAGTTGCTCTCTGACATCGCCCGCCTCGAGGCCGAAATGGAGCAGAGACACCAGCAGGAACTGGAGAAATTTGGAGAAAATCCTGACAGCAGTGTGGATTCGGTTACAGCCGACCTCAAAAAGATGAATCTCGAGAATATGCCTCCATGCCCATCAAAGGCCCAGAAGCGGCGCAACCGAAGAGCTAACCTGGAGAGACGGCGGCGTCACGAAGGGATGCCTGCGGCCCAGGCCGAACAACTGGCCGCTTACCGTCATGAGGAGGAGGAGAAGATCGCTGCCATTCTTGGCGCCAAAAATCTGGAGATGAAGAACATCCCTGCTGACGGCCACTGCATGTACCGTGCCATCCAGGACCAGCTGGTGTTCTCCGTGACAATCGAGAGCCTACGATACCGCACTGCCTACTACATGCGGAAACATATAGATGACTTCTTACCTTTCTTCACTGAACCCGAGGCCGGCAACTTCTACACCCAGGAGGACTTCCTGAGATATTGTGATGACATCGTGCACAGGGCTTCGTGGGGAGGCCAGCTGGAGCTGAGAGCCCTATCGCATGTCCTGCAGACCCCAATCGAGGTGGTACAGGCCAACTCACCCATCATTGTCATCGGGGAAGAGTACACCAGGAAGCCGCTCACGCTTGTCTATCTGCACTACGCCTGCGACTTCGGAGAGCACTACAATTCGGTGAAGCCCATCGAGGTTGCTGGAGCAGTTAGAGGAATGGCTCCGCGCCTCTTCTAGAACTTTCCAGCAGACGCGAAGGAACTCTGCCCTAGGCGCCATCTTTGTCACCTCTGCGGCGGTTCCTGGGAGAACTGAAGCGGCTCCGGCTGCTGGGAGAACTGAAGCAGCCACTGCGGCGTCTCTTAGTAGGAGCAGTTGCGTTTCCTTCGCTGGTTTGTTTTTATGTTTGTCTTTCAAGATTTGTTCAATGTCTATGTCCTACCTCTTTTTTGTTTGTTTGTATGTTTGGGGGGGTGGGGTTGTTAGGGTTTTGGTTTTTTTGTTTTGTTTTGTTTTGTTGTTGTTTTGTCTTGTTTTGTTTTGGGGTTTTTTGTTTTTCTCTCCTCAGATTTTTTTTTTTTTTTGTGCTCCTTTCGTGTGGTGGGGAATGGGAGGCAGTTTATACACAGGATAATATCTCCTTGGGACATCTAAGAGGCTTTAATTTCCACCGACTCTTAACTTCATTCCGCCCTCAGGTACCTTTGTCCCAGTGACGATTCAATTCATGTTAGCCTGAACATGGAAATTTGGGTGTTTGCTCATTGTTTACCCGTGCTGAAATAAGTGTAGTAGAAGGGTTCGGGTTGTGGGATTTTACTCTGAAAATTTATCAACCCACTTGATAAAAGCAGAGTTGGTGTGGCTGAAATGACTTATGAGTGTTTTTCAGGAAAAAAAATAATGCCACAGCTGGCTGACTTGCTCTTAACCAATTTTAAAATGCCTGGGTTATGAACAAGTCTTCAAGGAATAGTTTGCTTGTTTGGTTTTATTTTTCATTCAAACTTGTGAAGCCAGCTGAAAGTGAGTTTTAGTTGCCCGGCTATGTTCTAAACACTAAAAAAAATGAGTTTTCATAGGTAAATGTAACTGTTAGGTACAGAAATTCAATTTAAATGAGCTAATAGCTGAAGTAAGCTTTACCTTAAAGATGTGAAAGATGTGAACTTAGTGACATTTTTTTAAATTTTTAAACTGGAAGCTGTTCCAGTTTTTGTATAAAGGAAAGCAGTGAACAATATAGCTCCATTTCTGTTAGAAACTGTCTTAAATGTGACATTAAAAGGGAAGAGCAAGAATGAAATGATTTGCAGGTTTAACATTCGCTCCTGTATGTTAGTGAACTTAAATTCATTTTAAAATGCATTGTCCCTTCCAAATGAGCTCAAATAGTATATGTAAGTTTAAAAACCTCTTTGAAAACTTATGCAATGTGTTAAAAATAAAAACATCTTTTGAAATACCTGGTTTGCATTTCTTGTATAGCTGATAGGCCACATGAAGTTTATAGCCCAGGTGGCTTTCTTTCAGCAAGGGCTCCTGAAGAATAGGAGCAGGTTTGGTGGGGGACAGATGAGGCTTTGGATGATACACCTGCAGTCTTGGAGGGGGCCGGGAGTGAAATGTTTCCCAGGCTGGAATTTAAGGAGGAATTTATACTAAGGATGCCCTGGATTGATGTTTCACTCAATGAAAAACATGAAAGGGCTTCCTTTAATATTCTCTGCTGTGTTTTAAAAAGAACCCTGATGGTGGGGGGATACCCAAGGAGGAGCCCTGTGGGTCCCTTGTTCTGGAGGGTGTCCCACGACGATCTCCGGCCCAACTGGGGATAGGGTGCGAACAGGGAAGGTCCGCCTCTGCTGCTGCCTCAGCCTGTGTCTCTGCTGTCAGTTGGTCTCCAGCCCGCCCGGCCGGTGCAGGAGGTCCAGGCCAAAGGGGACAGAGTGAGAGCAGGAAGGGGAATTGATTCCACTGCCTCTGTTCACGTCTCTGCTGCCCTGTTACTACCAGGTGCTGAACCGGTCCAGGCTATGCTGGTGAGGCTCCGGCTAGCTGGCAAGGAGGCAGCTTGGTGTCCCAGGCAGGTTGCGGGAGAGCAGATCTCTTCCCAAGTGTTACAGCTCTTTCGACAGAAACTCTCAGACACCAGGATGATTCTCACACACCTTTACTTCTCCCGAAAAGGGTCCTTATATACAATTTCAGGGTGGGTTAGGGTCTGGCAGCAGATAACGCCTATTGGCTTGGTCTGAGAGCTTGGAGATACCTCATCTACATGTGGGAGAGCCTGAGGCACTGTTCCTCCTGACTGATGGCCACAGACTTCTCTGTGGGAGGGGCTGTGGAGGGCTGAAGCTAAAAGAAAAGAACCAGGGCCCAGGAGCAGAGCCGAACACCTGCCGGTCCAATAAAGGTCCAGGGTTCAAGGGCTATGCTCAACCAGGCACCCAGCTGCTTCTCACAGCCCACCACCCCACAGAGCCCACCCACTCACAGAAGAAAGGAGGGGTCGTGTGGGAGGGGGTGACCGGAAGGGGGGCAGTGAGTAGGATATAAAGTGAATAAGTAAAACAACAACAATAATAATAATAAAACAGAATCTAAAGATAATAAATCCAAATTAGACTGCCATAAAGGCTTTGGGGGTTTACTTTCACAAAAGAAACCCTATAGCAACTGCAAACTAATGAAAAAAGAAATCACTCATTTTCTTACACTTTAGCTTGTGTTTTATTCCTGTAGTTTTAGTGAATAAAATTCAAACGATATTTTTTTTAAAAAGACCTGACTTCCAAGACCCCAGCCAGGCTAAGGCTACATTGCAGGAGGGAAAGAGACGCTGCTATAGTCTACTTGAGGATGTTTCTGAAAAACAAATGTGGGAAACCCGACAAAGTTCTCACTGTGGAAACAGATAAAGTTTCAAAAACACACTTCTGGGGTGCATTGTGAGAAAAGTCTTTTGTAGGGACAGGAACACTGTATAGGGAAGGGGTTGTGAATTAGGGAGGAAGAGGGACAAGCTTTGGGAGGAGACACAGGTTGGGGATGGGACAATGTGCTTGGAGAGGTGATGTAACCTAGGAGGCCTGGCTGGGAAGGAGGGTAAAGGCTGAGGACACAGCCCAGGGAGAACCTGTATAGGCTGCACATGGAGGGCTCAACAATCGTAATAAGGGGTTAGGATGAGAAATAGGCCTTAAAGTGTTTGGGGGATTTTGTTTTGTTCTGTTTTGTTTGGAAGAAGCCTGGCTAGGGGATGGGACATAGATGGGGTTTAGGGAACAGGCCTGACTAAGGATGTGAGTGAAGGCTATGGAAGGGCTCTAAAACTGGAAAAGGTGCTTTATGGGATTGTCTGTGTGACATGGGCATGGGGGCTCTGCTTGGCTAAGGCAAAGTATGTTGACAGACAGGTATTTGACTGACTAGAGGCAACACACTGTGCTGAGGAAAGGCCTGGCTAAAGGTGAAACAGACGCTTGCTGGTGAAGGTAAGGGAGGTGAATCGGCTGGGGTGAATTATATAGGGAAAGGAAGGAACGAGACAGAGTGGGAGTGGGTGGGAAGGGAAACTGACTGAAAACTGAGGAAAAGGTCCTGGCCAGAGTGGTGTTGTTTGGATAATAAGGCAAGGAACTGGGCTTCCACAGCCGTGGACAGAGGAATGGGCTGGTAACTGAGCAACTTAAAGAAGCCAGGTTGGGAAGAGCATACATGGGCTGGGCCGAGGCCTCAGCACATATGTAGCAGATGTGCATGCAGCTCATGTTCCATGTGGGTCCCCCAACAACTAGAACTGGGGGGGAGGGGCTGTCCCTAAAGCTCTTGCCTGTTTGTTCAGTCCATTCCACAACTGGGCTGTTTTGTTTGGCCTAAGTGGGAGAGAATGCACCTAACCCTGCAGACACTTGATATGCTGGTTGGGGGGAATCCCCAGGAGGGTCCCCACCCTCTCAGAGGAGAAGAGGATTGGGGAGGGACTCTATGATGAGGGATGGGGGCACAGCAATCAGGATTTAAAATTAACTAATGAATGGAAAACTAAATTTTTAAAAAAAGGCCAGGTAGGATGGGTGCAACCGATGATGAACAAGTCCATGGCTCTTGAATGGGGAAATGATCAGGGCAGGCAACCTGGTTGGGCAAGGGGCACTCGCTAGAGACACTTTCTGAGGGAGGGAATCTGGAAGGAGATGCGGCCTTCCTGGGGAAAGAGGCATTGGCTGGGGAACCAGTCAGCTTGGAAGACGAGGATTAAATAGAGGGTCCTGACAGGTAAAAGCATCACCAGGTTTGAAAAGGTTCGTGCAAGCTGATATAGGGACACAAACTGGGGAAAACAGCATTGGGGAGAGGAAGGTAGCCCCAGAAGGAAACAAAGGCATCTGGGGTGCCTGTTGGAGAATTAAGCTTGGGTTGAAAAGGAGGCCTCATTTGGCAAGGGACACAAACTGGAGAAACCACTATCCTGTGAATGGTTGTGGAAGGAGAAAAGAACCTATCTTAGTCTAGGGTATATATAAGAATGCAGGCTGAGGTGGTCAGAGGAGCCAGGGCACAGGAGTAGCAGGGCTAGGAGGAGGATCTTAGGGAAGAAGCAATAGGTTAGGGAAGAGGTCCCAGCTGGGTAGGGAAGCAGAGGGGAGATCTTAGCTGGGAAAAGAGATCATAAGGTTGGGGCATAGGGCTGGTTTAGTGAAAGGGCAGCTAAAGGATGCCTAGTTGAATTAGGAACCCAAGGACGAGGAAAGGGTCCCTGACCGTTAGAGAAGAAAACGTCTGCAGAAAGGATCCTAACAGGTAGATGGCTTGCCTGTTACTACAGAGTCAGTGTCTACACAGAGACCTTAACTGAGGATGAGCACAGAGTTGAGAAAGAAGGGGAATTAGCAGAGGACGGAGACACAGACTGGGAATGGAGGTCTTGGAGAAAGGAGTCAGAGGACACACAGGATAGGATCAGGAAGCTTCATTGGAGACAGAAATATACTGTTTAGTTAGGGTTAGCATTGCTGTGATGAAACACCATGACCAAAACAAGTTGGGGAGAAAAGGTTTGAGAGAAGCTGAGACAGGGAACTCAATGCAGGCAGGAACCTGGAGGCAGGAGCTGATACAGAAGCCAGAGTTCTGCTTACTGCCTTGCTCCCTACAGCTTGCTAAGCCTGCTTGCTTGCTTGCTTGCACATGTATGTATGTATATATATTTGTTTTGTTGTTTTAGGGGT